CATTGAGTGGCCCTAAATGCTTGGGCCACCTGATGGGCCCCATAAGCGTGTGGGCCCCGGTTCAGATGCACCGGCGGCAGTTCCGCTGATACACGGTTGTCATGCCCTGATGGCGGCCCTGAGTCACCATAAGCAAGGTATTTGACCATTTTTGCTGATCATTTTGTCTCACCTACTGAATGTGCGAAATATTTCATTTTTTCTTTCATCCTAACTTTTCAGACCCTATGTGAAATAATGCAAGATTAAGAACACTGTATGCTGTCTAATGCTTTTCGTTTCACAACTATTATTTATAAAGGCTGAATGAATAAATTAAAAAATAACAATTGTGAACATTTCCATAATTGTATTTTTTAAGTATGTCTACAAAACTATATATACACAAAATTGCTGTGTTTTTTTTTTTGACAATCTTTATTTTTTATTTTTCGTCATGGTTACAGTTTGACAATTCGTGCACTTGAAAATATAGGGTGTTACAGTGGCGAACAACCAAACCCATGGGGCCCCGGTGCGAAAACTGATCCGTGGGCCCCCCGCCACGCGCGCTTACTCTGCGCGGGCTGGGGCCGCAACACATGGCGGTGGGCACCTGGTCGCAGGGGTCACAGGGCTGCGACCCCTGCGACCGCGGTATGTACGCCAGTGCATGCAGATACACATACACTTAAAGGACCACTACAGACACCCAGATCACATCAGCTCAATTAAGTGGTCTGGGTGCCAGGTCCCTCTAGTTTTAACCTTGCAGCTGAAAACATAGCAATTTTAGAGAAACTGCTATGTTTCACTGAGGGTTAATCCAGCCTCTAGTGGCTGTCTCATTGACAGCCGCTAGAGGAACTTCCGCGATTCTCACTGTTAAAATCACAGTGAGAAGACGATGAATGTCCATAGGAAAGCATTGAGTAATGCTTTCCTATGGGTGGTTTGAATGCGCGCGCGGCTCTTGCCACGCATGCGCATTTGGAGCTGAGAGGCAGATCGGGGCGGAGAGATAAGGTAAGTGCTTAAGACACACATACACTCTCATGAACAGACGCATACACACTAGCTAACAGACACACACATTTACTGACACACACTCAGTGACAGACATACATACACACTCACTGACAGACAGACACATACACACTCACTTACAAAACACCCTCTCACTAACAGACGCACACAAACACACTCAGTAACAGACACACACAGTAACACACTCACTGACACACTCTAACACTAACACACACAAACACACTTTAACATACATACACTCTAACACTAACACACACACACACACAATCTAACACTAACACACACACACTCTAACACACACACACACGAATACACACACACTCACACACACTAACACACACATTGTTTGTTTTTTTTTTTTCATCCCCCAGCCTCCCTACCTTAGGGAGTGCTGAGGGGTTTCCCTGGGGTCCAGTGGTATCACCCGGCGGGTGCCGCGTACTGATGCCGGAGCCGGAAGATGATGTCATCTTCTGGCTCCGGTATCAGTCTGGTGCGCGAGGGAGCTGAAGAAGAAGCACTCAGGGGAGAGTGCTCCCTCACGCACCCGCCAGCCTGCGCGCCCGGTGATACCAGGGCCAGCCTCGGGGGGCCCTAAAGTGACCGGCTCCTGGGCCCCCCAGGAGAAGAGGCTGGCCACACTGGCATACATACCGGGTCGCAGGGCGGCCGGGCCTCCTGGTGGGCCGGGCCTGGTCGCAGCCGCGACCCCTGCAACCCCGGTATGTACGCCACTGGGGTGTTAGCAGAGTCAACAAAATACACATCTTAACTGTTATGATAATTGAGATCCAACAGTATTTAAGCAGTAAAGTGCTTAAAAACAAAGAGTGAAAAGCAGACTATGGCAGTAATAGAATTAACACAATGCGCTGAGTGGTGTAGAAGCACAATGCAATCAACGAATTACGGTATGTCAACAATGGCACAACATACAACAATGGCTGATTAGTAGGTAGTGTTTTGGTTAGAGTTATGGTAACCAGGGTGTTGGGTAAGTCCCATGTTTGTTGTGTTGACTGCAGGCTAGCGTCACTTGTCTCAGGAAATTTTCCCTGTGCAGTATTTGTTGGAGGAGGTATATCTCCTTTGTCGGTCGTTCCCTCTGTCGGGGCAGGAGGGTGGCAGGGGGAAGGGGAGAGGGAGGGGGATGGGGTATGGTGGAGGGCTCCCAGTTCCCTTCCCCACCCGCCAAGAGGTACCACAGCCAGGGCGTCCAAGTGCGAGTGCATTTCTCATGCCTGTCATGCAGTGTTGCTGTGAGGGATTCCATCTCTCCCACCCTGTCTATCCACTGCCGGAGCATGGGCGCATCCCTCTGCCTCTACCTTGTAGGGATCAGGTAGTTGGCTGCTGTCAGTAGGTTTTTCACTAGGGATTTTTTGTATGCGAAAAGGGTAATGTCTGTGTGGTGTAGTAACATAGTGAGGGGCTGGAATGGCAGGGCAATGTCTGTGATTTGTTGGATGGACTCTCGGATCGCTGCCCAGAAGGGAGCGATGACAGAGCAGCCCCACCAGATGTGGAGAGCGGAGCCATCGTTGGTGCCGTATCTCCAGCATTCGCCGGGCGTCTCCATGTTTATATGATGCAGAATATCTGGGGTTCTGTACCAGTGTGTTCTCCTGGATTTTGGAGCTGATGGAGCATTTATGTGTTAAAATAAATATTTTTCCCATTCCTGTTCTCTGAGCGTGGTCCCCGTCTCTCTCTCCCATCTGGCTATGTATCTTGGGGGTGGCGGGTTTTCTCCCTCGAGGAGAAGCGCGTATAGCATGGAGACTCCCCTCTCAGGGTGGGTCCTTTTGGTGCATAATGTTTCAAACTGCGTGGGGGTTCTGTGTAGGCACTGTTTGTTCGGGAAAGCCATGTAATATGCCTGTATTTGAAGGTAGTGGAAGTTGTCTATGCCTGTAGGTGCTTTGTCCCCGAGGATGTCTGTCAGAGGCTTGAGTCGATCCCCCTGCAGTATTTGATGAAAACTGAACCAGTCGGTGTTGCTGTATGTACGCAATTCTGCAGGTGTTAATCCCCCACTGATGTCTGGGTTGTGTGTGATGAGTGTAAGGGGGCAGACTGTGGTGGTGAGTTGGTGAGAATATCACAGCGTGCACCAGATTCTTAGCATGGTATCTATCATTGGATTGCCTGTTCACAGGGATCCTAGTGTTAGGGAGCCAAGCCAAAGGCGGGAGGGGAGAGAACCACCCATTTGTGTGAGTTCCATGGGCACCCATAGCTTGGCTGTTGGGAGAGCATGCCAGTCCACCGCCCTTAGAAGGTGGGTGGCATGGTAGTACACCAGGAAGGATGGGAGTCCAGCACCCCCCTGGGACTTAGGGCATCCTAGTAGCGCCTTACTAACCCTGGTCGACTTCCCGTTCCACACGAACTTCCGTACGGTCGTGGAGAGTGACTGAATGAAGGCTCTGGGTATGGAGATAGGGATCGTTTGATACAGAAACAGGAGACGCGGCAGGACAGCGTTAATACGGGCGAACCAGGAGACATAGAGACCCATCCAGCGATGTAGGTCGGACTGTATAACCGAGAGAATGGTGAGGAAGTTTAGCTGGTATCAGGTCTTTAGGTAGCCAGACCCCGAGGTATTTTAATTCGGAGTCGCACAATGAGAAGTGGAATTGCAAACGTATCTCTGGTGTGAGTGATATCGGTAGGGCCTCCGACTTGCTCATGTTTAGCTTAAGGTTAGAAATGTCGCCAAAGTCCCTGAAGGCTCGGAGGAGATGGGGAAGGGAGTCCGCAGGGTTATCGAGGAAAAATAGCATGTTGTCCGCGTACGCGGCCACCCTATGCTCTGTTTGGTGCAGCTTGTACCCCGTCTGACCGCCTCCAGGAAGGGTTCCAGAGTGAGGGCAAACAGGAGGGGGGACAGGGGGACTCTCTGAGAATGAGGCAGAGAGTGCGCCATTAATTCATATACGAGCTGTCGGGGTTGTGTATAGTGCTAGTGTCCAGGGGGCCGAATTGCATATGTCGAAGGGTGGCCTCAAGGTACTGCCAGTCCACCCGGGCGGAATGGATCATGTTGAGGGCTCGTATGGTATTGTCCCGCGCCTCACTTCCCAGGCCGAAAACCCACCTGGTCCGCAAGAACCAGCGTGGGGAGCACGAGGGTGAGTCGCAGGGCCAGAATCTTGGCGAATAATTTGAGATCTGAGTTGAGAAGCGAGATCGGCCTATAGCTCTCGCAGTCGGTGGGGTCTTTCCCCTCCTTTGGTATGACTGTCACTGTCGCGTGCAAGGTGTCGGGAACTGGCCGCCCTCTAGTAGGGAGTTAAAGCCCTGTAACATGTGTGGTAACAGTGTGTCCCGAAACTTGCGCAGGTACAAGACCGGTAGGCCGCCAGGGCTCGGGTCTTTATTGGATTTAGATTGTTTAAGGGCAGCGGCGAGCTCTTCCGCGGTGATGGGTTGTTCCAGTTCCTCTGCTAATTCCTCCGAGAGCTTGTGCCCGACATATTTCGAGAGGAAGCCGTTCACACGGTGTAGGTGTTGTGGTGTCTCCGTTCGTCGTGTGGTGGTGTTGATGTTATATAGCTCCGAGAAAAGTGCCGAAAGGCCTGGAGGATATCTGCCAGGGCCCTCTTCATCGTCCCATCCCTCCCCTTAACTTGGTGAATATGGTGTTGCCTCTGCTTTTGTTGTAGGGTGCGGGCTAGAGTTCTCCAGCATTTATTGGAGAATTCGTAAAAATGTCTATTCGATTTCCATATAGTGTGTAATAGTTTCTGGGAGAGTAGGTCTCTGAGCTGTCTGCGCTTGTCAGTGAGGAGGAGATAAGTGTCATCCGTTTGGTCCCGTTTGTGTCGTGTCTTTAGGTCTGCTATCGTGTGCGTCAGGTCTACGATATTTGCGGCGTGTTGCCTCTTCCATTGGGTGCATAATATGATTAATTGTCCCAGAATCACACATTTCTGCGCTTCCCACACCGTAAGGGGGGCAATGGCAGGACTGTCGTTGTCAGCAAAGTATTGGGTCAGTGTTTGTGTGATTTGTGTGGTGAAATTGGTGTCTGTCAGCACACTTTCATTGAGTCTCCATTGAAGTTCCCGGGGATTGAAGAGTGGTGATTTAAGTGTGACTTGAACTGGGGCATGGTCCGAATCGTGTTTTATCCCTATCGTGGAGGTGATCAAGAGGGGAAGGTACTCTTGGGCTAGGAAAATATAGTCGATTCCGCTATATCTATTATGCACCGCAGAAATAGCATGTGTAATCTTTAGCTTCGGGATACGCCACCCTCCAGCAGTCGACCAAGCCCGACCTGATCAATGCCTGTTTTGCTTTCCTTATACAGTGCGGGGGGGATGGTGCTGGTGCCCGCGGAAGAATCCCTCCGGGGGTCCAGCGGGATGTTTAGATCTCCAGCTAACACCAATGTGCCATCTCTGAACCTCTCTAGCTGCGTGAGGGCCTTCGCCAGGAACCGGTGTTGCCCCTTATTGGGGCAGTATATCGTGGCGAAAGTGTACCTGTGTTCTGCGATCATGCCTTTCACAAATAGGAACCTGCCCAGGGGGTCCGCTTGTGATGCACTGCTTAGGAAAGGGACAGAATGGGCAAAGATTATTGCCACTCCCGTGCGTTTAACTTCAGAGTTGGTGGCGTAAAATCCCTGGGGGAATCGTCTATCTCTTATCTTAGGGGCGTCCTTCCCTTTAAGGTGCGTTTCCTGTATAAATGCTATTGAGGTCTTCTGAGACCACAGGGTCCTCAGCAGGTGTCTCATTTTTTCAGGGGAGTTGAGGCCCCTTACATTGTGGGATCATAGGAGTAGAGGTGTTGGGCAGAAGCTGGTCGCCATGGCTGCTCGGCCACCCAACAAGGGGGGCCGTGACCAGGGGCCCTCAAGGAAGGGGGCTGGGGGGGTGAGTGGGGAAGGTAGTGGAGGGGGGTTTGGTTGATGTGTCTGTCTGGGTTTGTTAGCCTGTTGAGGACTGTGAAATAGTAGGCAACTATGGCCCCAGGTCGTGTGGGGGAGACCTAATGTACAAGAGGGTCAGTTGCTGTGGGACTAGGAAGTCCAGTTGGTTGAGTCCGTCTGGGAAGTCCGGTATCCACTCTCCCTCGACCCACTTTGTGGAGTTTCTGATATGTCCACTAAGGCCGTTGAGAATGGGTTGGCTCCCTGGAGGGGGGCCAGTACGGGTGATTGGGCGGTACGTCCCCGGGTCTCGCCAAGTGGCCGGTCGTTTGGGTCCCCATCAAGATTTCTCCGAGCAGCTGGTCGGCCCCCGTTACGGTGGCATATATCTCAGCTCGCCAGTTTTTCGGGGTTATGGGTATTGGGGGGTTCCTGTCAATGTCTTGGTTACTGATCGCATGATGGCTTCTTTAACCTGAAAAGAAAGTAGGCAACATATCACGTCTCGAGGGAGGCCACAGTCCCTGTGGGCTCATTCTATGTGGAAGTCATCAGGGGCCTCCTCGTCTAAGCTGTGTAAGGGCTTCAAAGAGGTCTTCATTATCGGCTTCTGGCAGGCCTCTAACTCGGCTATTGTTACGTCTTCCACGATTGTCCAGATCCTCCACCTGTCTGTGGAGTTCCAGGAGCACAGAACCCTGCCTGGCTGTGGCATGGTCAGCGGCCTGGGAATGCTGGATGGCTTGTAGGTTTTCATTTTCAAGCTCTGAGACCCGTTGTTCAAGGGCCGTGAGGTCCCTGCGAACCTCCAAGAACTCTTCTCGTATCGCCGCCCTCAGCATCGAGACCATGGCGGCTTTATCACTTTTGGTGAACATGTTGGCCAGGATTTCCGCCAGTTCTGTTGTTATCTGCGATAGCGCTTCCCCTTTAGCTGAGCTGGGCTCTGAATCCGTGCCGCTCTCAGCTCCTGGGGAGGCGGCCGCCTTCTTGCCTGCAGGCCTCATGTATCGGCAGGCTCAGGGATCGGCAGGCTCTTATTTGGGGCTTTGTGGGTCGAGGTTGCAGATCTCCGGCAATGTGCGACTCACTCCATTCGCCGACAAGCCACGCCCCCCCAAATGGCTGTGTTATATGTTTATGAAATGTGAAAAATGTGAAAAAAAATAGGAAATAAAGGTGAGAACAGGGGACCTTATTGTGGATGAACTCAGAAAAAAAAATATCTAAAGGACCACAAAAAGTGGAAAGCTTATCAGGGGTAGGCAACCTTCAGCACTTCAGAAGTTGTGGACTTCATCTCCCCTAATGCTTTGCCATAATATGGCTGTGATACAACTATGGAAGATGTAGTCCACAACATCTAGAGTGCTGAATGTTGCCTACCTCTGGTCATAGGGGAAGGAAATGTCAAGTCGGAGATTGACATGTGGGTAAAGGATTATTTGTTACCTGCTATTGAATATAGTGGGGGTTTTAATAGGCTTAAAAAGTAGGTTTCCTTAAGTTTCATAGAATCACGTTGTGTGAATTGTGCTTTTCCCGGAAACATAAAGAGAATGTTGACACATTTTTTCTGTAGGGTTCTCAATGATACATTAAATGTATTAAACCAAACAAAATCAAAGATAGTAGTTCCCCTTAAGCTTAAATTAAATTGTGTACTTTTTAAATCTTGTAAACACCATGGGAAGGCTAATGTTTCCCTTTACACCAGTTTTGTAAAACTAGCAATTCTTTTTACTAAAGGAATGTAAAGAGACAATGAAACTTGCAGCCTTGCATGTCTCTAGATTAGTAACTTAAATGAAGGATGCTTTCAATGAAGCATGAATGCCTAGTCAAGGATTTTCTTCAAATCGCCATCTATGATTTCACAACATAGAAAATTAGATTACAAACCTGAGCCATGTATTAACCATAACTACTATAGTTGGACTGAGAAATGCCAATTAAGAGACACATAAAGTGACAGTGCCCTCCACGTTCAAAATGAAAATCAGGCACAAAGGAGCATGTGCACCATCAGAATTGCTTAACAAAACAAACATCTGGTAGCTGTGTTATTTTGTTTAATTTTTTTTTTTGTATATTATTCACCCAATCCCAGCAAAATAAGCTACAAGCAAATGATAAATTACAAACTATTTTCCAAATTTATGGACTTATAACACAAAACGTATTATACACATCCCATGTATTCGGATTATCAGTTTTTGTGAACCTCAGGACAGTGGTGTTTATTAAGATAGCATATTATCATTTTCTTTATATATTTTTTTTATTCAAATATATTATAGTCATGAAATATACCCTATTTTGGTGCAAACCTCATACCTATAAGTATGCTTTTTTCTATGTGTCATGCTAAAAGTAGCCTGACCTTTTTTGCTTTTTTTTTTGTACTTTCCTGCATTATATTGGCTATAAATGAGATACTATATATAAGAGATGCTTCATAGGAAACAAGAAGAGATGGTGACAGAAAAATAAAACGTATTAACATGCAGTATGGGATGGTATCCTCCTGGGAACATCTGACATGAGGTTTTGCTCACTTGTGCCATTAAAGAGGATAAAATTGCACTGAATCTAAAGGATGTCACATTTTGTTCAGTAAACAAGGTCTTTCTACTAATTAGACAGACTCTGCACCTGAAAGAAAGCAATATGCTATTTAAAGATTTCTAGTGAGCTTTTTGTTTAACGCTTTCAAGACTAGAAGGCTATCAATGCATTGTTCTACTTTTTCTTTATAAAGCATCCTCTCGAGGTCTTCTACAACCAGATGTTATAACATGCATTGATTTCAGCTTTAATTAATAGCATCCACTTTTTCCTAGCCCAAGATAAAGATGCATGTATGGATATATACAGTGTATTCGTACATATTATAAAAGGTTTCAGTACTTTATGGATATCAGTTTAATTCCTACGTTCCCGTACCAGGTCCCAAGTGGAGTTACACCTTCAGGAGCAATGTGCTAAATCTCCATATGTGCAGTGTTTCAAATGTAAATCCTGCATATTATATTCAAATTACTAGTCAGGTCTCGGTAATCCTGTAAGCATAATAACCATTGCAGCCTATTGTATTGATTAATGTGTCTATAAAGCTGTGGTTGTTTTTCCTTGGTTCTTTTTGTCATGATTTTTGCCAATGCTTATAAAAAAAATTAGGAAATCCTGATAGTCCACTGAGAGGGCAAGAAAGGGACTCATGTCCGTAAATCTTGGTAAGGGAACGGAAAGACATGTTTCTTGCATCAAAAATGTTGGTACATTGTGCTGTAAAATGGAACAACACAATTCATGGAGGTTATATGACTTAACACCTAAATGGCAAAGACTTGAGAATTGAGACCTGAGTTTCATGGTCTACACACCAAAACTGCTTTATTAAACTAAAATTGTTTTGGTGCTTAGATCTGCCCTTTAAAATTAGTTCAATAGATAAACATCACATTTGTCCCTGCCAGTTTTGCTTCTTAAAGTAGTAACCTAATTTTATAAGGGTGTTTTACATTTTAACAACAGATCATCATACACTAGAAGTGTAAGTAAAGCGTGCAAACCATGCCATTTGCCAGACAAGGGATGTGCAACTGTCTTACAGTGTCCCTCAAAATAGAACACAATATTAACTGGAGAGCAGAACAAAAACATAAGAAATAAAAATAATAAATGATAACTTCCATGGGTCAGGCAAACATGATAGATAAAACCAACTACCAGCAGGTAGAAAAGTATGTGGGAACAAAAGTGGTCCGATATATTTATCTATCCCAGTTTTCAAGGGACATAAAAAAGGTATACATAGGGCTGTCTAATTGATTCAAGGCATGAGGTGTAATCAGTATTTTGATGGTCATAATGTAGTTATACGCAGTCATCCTGGAATCTGTAAAGGTGGCCTAAAAAATGAGGCCTATTGTCCCATGCGTCACCACCCTTGTTCTCACTACTGTTTGAATTTGTGCAGTAGTAGCCGGTAGCTGTAGTCTGTAGCCTGGTCTACGGGTTTTGCAAATGCCTCTATGGTTTTCATGCCTGGTAAAGACCTGGTTATGTGGGTAATCCAAAGTATCCCACTTGAATGTGCTTAATTTTAAGATGTCAGCCTCAAATTTAATCAACCCTGTTTCAATATCAGAGAGTAATTTATCCACTTTCTCCTTTGATTCTATCTCACATAGCTGTTCAATGATGTGGCTTATAGCTCTATGGTTAGAGCTATAAGGTCCACACTGCACTTGTTTAGGATCTTTTCCCAGAAACCTAGGAATTTGGTCTGTCCCTGCAAACACTGGGCCTGATATATAACCTAAGCCTTCGGGGGATCTGCTTAACTTTAAAATACTCTACTAATGTACTAGAATGTAAAGAGTATTTTGTGGCTTTCCTGTTGAGGAATTCTAACCAGCGCTATAAGCATTCCACATTCATGTGACCAGAAAAGATACCTCTATCTAACCTACAAATAAGGTTTTCCACCTCTACCTGGCTAAACCTTAAGGTATCATCCCTCTTGTCGCTTAATTTACTGATATCCTATAAGTACATAGCCGGTGCAATCCTAAAAGTGAAAAAAAGGATAAGTCAATCAATATCAGTGTGTATAGGAGAACTCAACTTAGTATAGACAGGAATTATATGTAGTGCAAAAAATATTTAGGAATGATTTGAGGAAAAAGACAAAGTGCTCAAGGTGTTCTTGTTGCCTCCAAATCACCCAAATCTCAATCTGATTGAACATCTGTGGGATGTGCTGGATAAACAAATTTGATCCATCTTGCAACTTCCATAACTTAAGGGATCTGCTCATAATGTCTTGGTGCCAGGCTCCACAGAGGTCTTGTTGAGTCCATGCCTTAAGGCATCAGAGTTGTTTTGGCAGCATGAGGTGACCTACATGATGTTAGGCAGGTGCTTTTAATGTTGTGGCTGATCAGAATATATATAAAGTTTAGTTACATATATGGTATACCCATTGTACAGCACTATAACATCTGTAAGTGTTGCATAAATAAATATTATTTATTGTTGTTAACCCCTTAAGGACGGAGCCAAATGTACACGTTGTGAACGAAACAAAATGTAAACAAAACCTGGCATTTGCACTACATGTCTGTCCAACCGTAATTCACCTATTTCATAGTAAATGCACACACCCTTATTTTGGGAAGTTACAGGGTCAAATATAGCACGTTACATTTGAAATTGAAATTCGCCAGATTGGTTACGTTGCCTTTGGGACTTTATAGTAGCCCAGGAATGAAATTTACACCCATAATGGCATACCATTTGCAATAGTAGACAACCCAAGGTATTGCAAATGGGGTATGTCCAGTCTTTTTTAGTAGCCATTTGGTCACAAACACTGGCCAAAGTTAGCGTTAGTATTTGTTTGTGTTTGAAAAATGCAAAAAACGCAAATTTGGCCAGTGTTTGTGATTAAGTGGCTACTAAAAAAGACTGGACATACCCCATTTGCAATACCTTGGGTTGTCTTCTTTTGCAAATGGTATGCCATCATAGGGGTAATTTTCATTCTTGGGCTACCATAGGGTCTCAAAGACAACGTAACCAATCTGGTGAATTTTAATGTGAAAAAAATGAAACACAAGCCTTATATTTGACACTGTAACTTTTGAAAACACCATAAAACCTATACATGAGGGGTAATGTTGTACTCGGGAGACTTCGCTGAACACAAATATTTGTGTTTCAAAACAGTAAAAAGTATCGCGGCAATAATATCGTCCGTGTAAGTGCTGTTTGTGCGTGAAAAATTTCACTTTTTGGCGATATCATCGTTGTAATACATTTTACTGTTTTGAAACACTAATATTTGTGTTCAGCGAAGTCTCCCGAGTAGAACAGTACCCCCCATGTACAGGGTTTATGGTGTCTTGGAAAGTTATAGGGTTAAATATAGTGCTAGCAAATTAAATTCCCTTTACTTTCGGCATGGGTTGTCAGGCAGGTCCCGCTAATTGTAATTAAT